ATAGATTTTCAAGAGCTTTTAGGTAGAAACGCAAACTGTGATAAGAACGCCACTCATACGCAAGAGGGAAATAGCAGACTCCCAGATTTCGTACTGCTATGGGATTCCTCGGGACTCCCAGGGACCCCTTGGGACTTCCGCGGACTCCTGGACTTCCCAGGATTTCATGAGATTTCTTCGAATTTCGAGGAACTTTATGGGACTGCCTGGGACTTCCCAGGATTTTCCTGGAACTCCTTTAGGTCTTCTCGCTACTTCGACATATTCTAGAGTAGTAGCACCCGCATGTATCATGCTGGTGGACTGTACAGATCACAGGTTAAGGGTCAAAGGTTAAATACTAATGCGAAGAAACTCATGTGTACAGAGCTGCGCTCCTGTATTTTATGGGACTCCTAGGGACTCCTTGGAACTTCTTGAGATTTCTCGGGAATCCTTGGAACTTCTTGGGACTTCCAGGGACTCGCGCAGTACGGAAGTCTGCTGTTTCCCTTTGCTTATAGTACTTCCATAAAATAGCTCATGAGGACTTATGGGTATCTCCATAAGATAGCCCATGTGAACTTATGAATACCTCTATAAGATATATCGTACTTCCGGGATTTCAAGGATTCCCATTGTACTTCCAGAGATTCGGAATCTTGGAAATCCTCTTTTCTGCTCTTGCGTTCAACTAAAGAAAGACGAAAAAGAGGAATGAGGCGTCTCGTCCACTAGATACCACCCTAGTTGCTTTGTCTACTGAATAACTTATTATTTGAGGCCGCTTAAAAATTGAAACAAGAAAAAAAGCAGTATTTCAATGCTTTTTCAAAAAATATTCGGAATAAATTATTACGTTCGTTGTACTCCCTTGCATTCCTTTGTACTCCCATGTACTCCCTTGTACTCCCTGGTACTCTCTTGTACTCCCTTGTACTCCCATGTACTCCCGTGTACTCCCGTGTACTCCTGGTACTCCCTGTCCTCTAAGAGTACTCCCGTACTCCGAGTACGTGATTTCCCCCTTGCCCATACCCATGCCCACACCCACACCCACACCCTTCTGTGTCAATATACATAGTCAATAATAAAAGACAAGGCAAACATTTTAAATAAAAAAGAAGTAACGAAAATCTATTGGTTTCAATGCTTCTAATAACAATTGATTGAAGACAATTAACGGCCCCCCTCAGAAATGATTTCTCACTTAGGATAGTTCATTTGGGCTGAAATTTTCAGGGATGACTGATCCTGGTGAGATACACTTCTGACAAAAATTTTAGCCCTATAAATAGCGCTGGAGCCGAAGTTCCAGCTGATTCCTGACCTATTTTTGGAATCGAAGTAACTCCGTCGTGGTACATGCTAGAGAGCTCAGCCTGGTTTCAAAATAAAGTCAATGTCAGTGCGCAACTTTTATCAGAGCAGAATTTTGAAATTCAATCCTATTCGTTTTTTACGAGCAGTTTTGGTGAAAGGATCTGCAAATTAGCACAAAAATGGTGGTTCATCGACAGTAAATTTCACTTTTCTCAGCTCAAGAACCAACTATAAAAAATCTGTTCGGACGAAAGTTTACTCTCATCAAGATCCTTAAAACAAAGAAATATTGGATACAGCCTGAACCGGAAGGGAGTTATTTCAATTTTTCTGATTGGAAACCCTACTCTCGAAAAAACGATAAACAAATTTGGAAATGAATTTTTTATTGCAATTCGAAAAAAAACACATTTAAATGGCATATTTTCAGAATTTTGTTCATTTTGCAAACAAAAATTGCATATATAAAACGAGCTGTTCTTTATTAATTCTAGAGCTTTTCACGTTGCATCTTGTATTATTTTTTGTTTTTTTAATACAATGTATGAAAATAGAAAAGCAATGTCTTTCAAAAACTGAGAAACTTCCAAAAATTCCGAAAATGTCTCGAACAACATGATAGTAGGACTCCAGTCTCCCTTAGTAAGTCTATTAAGGCCTGGTCCTTTTTGGAAAAAAGGCATATATATTCTGCAATAGGAGACTTCAGTGCATCTTCCTATAATAAAAATCTCGACTTCGGCTTTTGTCGAAAAAATTGGTTTCTGTCAGGGAGTCCCTCAATTTGATTGAGAGAGTTTAGTTAGGTTGAAAGTGATAGAATGTGATGCTCGGTTAATTTCGGAAAATTTTAATATTTCCTAGAAGGAGTTAAAACTGCGTGAGAATTTTATATTGTTTGTATCGGTGCGATAAATAAAAGATAAATTGAGTTTCTTGCACACAACTGTAGAATAATATTTGATAAAATAAGAGGCATTTTAAGAGACATTTTGTCTTTCTGATACATAGAATAAGCGCTTGAATAATAATACATATATAAAAGATTTTTCGTTGAATCATTTGTTAGTATGGTAAAATATTCAGAATAGCATATGAGTGAAGAATGTACATTTTCTGAAATTGTGTATTTAGACAAGAGGATAACTTGCCATTGTAGCAATACCACATTGATTGTAATAATTGCGGCGCATCCAGATGTAGCCTTGCATTCCCCATGAAGTTCCCCAAGAATTCTTGACGATGTAATATTCATGATACTGAGTGGTATCGTTATAGCCAACAGCTAACATTCCATGATTAAGTTTAGTATCTGAGCAATCAGGTTCATCGTATATACCTGAGGAGTAAAATTGAAAGGAGCTATGTGAGGCATCGACAGCAACTGATATGGGACCAATAGTTGCTATAGCAACTTCAAGATCGGTTTCGTTGTGTGATATGGTATCAACAAAACCCTGGTATAAACATTAGTCAAATATTTCTTCGTAGAAAAGAGGAAGAACTTACAGTGTCAATGGCACCAACATTTTCTCTTGTGAAACGGCATTTGCCATCATGAGCTTCGTACGAGTAGCTTGACTCGGTGTCAATACCCTTGTTAACCTTGATATATTGAAAGGCTGAGTCCATGAGGCCACCTTCACAACCCATGTTACCAAACATACTCGAGCAGTCGATCAAATTTTGCTCTGAAAGTGAGATGAGACTCTTGGTTTTACGAAAATGTTGACCTTCAAGAGCACCAGTGGCCGAAAATGCCCAGCAGGAACCACATTGTCCTTGGTCTTTGACAGAAGTGACATAGCCTTTTGTACGCCAATCTATTCAATTAACACGCTTAGACTGAGACATGTTTCATTTAAGAGAAAATGACCAACATAATCTGTAGGACCAAAATTTTGTGGGACCATATGTGTATGACGATCAAATTTGCTCGAATCAGTATTTTTTATTTTGAATCCGTTCATTTTCTCATTGAATTCTTCATTTGTCTATAGACAAACCAAAATATTGTGTTTATAGAGACATAAAGTATTTACCATGTCACCGAACTGATTCATTTTCAAAGTATACGAGTAGACACCTATACCAGCTTTCAGATTATGTTGGTCAATCATATCAAGGTTTGTTTCCCAGATGATTCGCCTATTTAAACATTCATCAAAATAAAATAATTTCAATCATGACTTACCGAGTCGTTTCTTCTTCAATCGAGGCATATTCATTTCCGTAGACTTGCTTGAACAATTCCCATGATTGATCAAGCTCGATTTCACAAATTGGCGCACAAAAAGTGCTACCGAAAAGAACACATAGAATAAGTAACGGTTTCATTGTTGTTGTTAAATAAAGTGATCTGCGTATTTTTATGTACTCAACTCTTTCTTATCCTATATGATACGACCGATAACAATGAAATTGTCTTGTCATACGATAACATCATTATTTTATTGCTTACACTGTCTGACGAAACAAAAGAATCTGGCTTCATTCTTTAACAGAGGATCCGCCAGAAAACCAGGTAAAAATAGATACCCAGGTCCAAAAACCTGGTGTCAGATCATACAAGATCAGACAAAATCTTACGCTTACAAGATTTTTTGTACGATCATGCCACAAGATCGGACAGTATCGTATGTGTTCGTTTTTTTCAAGTTTTCATCAGATTCTGACTCTAAGATGCCAGCAAAAATCTTGCAAGATTTAAAGATTAAGAAACGTATGGGGACCAACTGAATGATTCTTGTCAGATCTTATCAGATCATATAAGATTCTTAAACAAAGAAACATAGAACAGTACGTGTTGCAGATCTTGTCTGTTCTTATCTGAGAGTGTATGATTTGACGTGTCTTTTCTCTTACGAGCGAAATCATGAATAAATTAATAACATTACCAAGAAATATAAAGAACAAAACAGTTTTGTTGAACAACCTGATGGGTGTGGGTGTGGGTGTGGGTGTGTGGGTGTCGGTGGGTGTGTGTGGGGTGTGAGTGGGTGTGAGTGTGGGTGTGGGTGTGGGTGTGGGTGTGGGTGGGTGTGGGTGTGGATGTGGGCACGCGTCAATTCTTATTCCACACCCACACTCCACACCAACACCCACACCCTCATATTTTGAATTAGCGTACAAAACGGAGCTGAATGATGGGTGTTTCAAATATTTTTGAAACATTGTTTTTTGATCGAAAAATTGACCTCCTACTCCCCTCAAGGTTTTTAAGCCGAAAAATGTATTTCATGAAAACGTCGATTTCATCGTTTCAACATTCTCCATTGTGTGTTCCAGTATCATTTTACACCTTTAAAGCTTGCTCGTCATTATATAAATTACTTTTTTGTAAAATTCAATTTTTGGCCCAAAAACCCTGAGGGGTAAGGTAGTAGGGAACGAATTTTTCGATCAAAAGAAAATGTCTCAAAAAGTTTTGAAATACACGTAGGTCGACTTCCTATTGTATGCTGATTCGGAATCTGGCATTAGTTTTGATCCAGTCATCTTTTTTTTTAACCGAAATCTGCGAAATATCAAGGAAAAGGCACAAATTCGTGTCATTTCTTAACTAATTTATTTTCAATGAAAATACTTTTTTTATGATAAAAATGTTTGTGAATCGAAGCTCTGCGATTCTAGACCACTTCCAACCGCATAATTGCTAGAAAAAAAGAATCTTTTATTCCTTTACTTTATATTTATTTTTTAAAGATAAATGATTCATTTATATTTATCCTTTTGTGTAAAGGGAAATGAAGGTAAAGGATCACCCCTACTCCGTTGGCTGCTGCTAGGTTACTGTCTTCAAAGATCTTTTGTTTATATTGGACATGTCTAGGTAAGAAATAAGATGTGAAGCTAAAAGTCGAACGAAGAAACCCTTAAAATGCAACGAGACCACAATACAAAGTGTAAAGAAGTGTACCTTTGGTTTGAAGCAGATGCAAATTTCTGCAAACTGCTTACAACAAGAACTACACATTTTATTAAAAGAATTGTCTTTGAAATTATTTTATGCGATTTTTACAGTTGTCAACAATTCAAGAAAAGCAATAATCAAGTTTAGAGTGATGGCACCGGCCTGCTGAATACTTTTATCCTGAAAACAATTTTATGTTGCTTTTATGGCACTTTTTTCTTCTAGAAAGATTACTTTTTTTTGGAGAAAAATGAAGTATTTAAACGTCGGAGCCATATCAAGTTTCTATTAACCGAGGGATTACGTTACCTGCTTCTTAGGCTTCAGCGAATGCGAAAAACATTAAACTATTCATTAGATAGAGAAAAACGGATATCGCCACTATTATCTGTTTCATTTCAAAACAAGCGATGGTTTCAATAGCAACCCATTGTTTCGTATTCATTCTATTCAGGTAATTATAAAATCTGTTATTTTCCTATGTAACTAACGTTCAACAATCTTCCTTTTAAGTCTTACAGGTTTGATTTCTTTGTTTTCGTTTTACATATTCTGCTATTAATTGGATCTCTTAATAGCTCGGGTGAAATCTCAGTTATGCCGTGGAATATCTCAATATGGTAAATGCTCATCGAATAGTGCGTGTGGCTGTTTCCTCATGCCGGATGCTACTGACACTGGTATTTGCGGCTTTCAATGGCCGGAGTGTTCGGAGCTAGCTACATGTGAAAGTTCAGAAAATATTTGCCGTGCACCTGATCATATTTGTGTGAATCATCCTCGATGTCATAATCGACCTGTTTGTTATCCGGTGTCGATGATGGATCGACAAATCTGTCCATCAACAGCACGTAAGAAAAACAAACGATGATATGCATATTTAAGTGAAACTCGAACGTTTCCCTAACGATACTTTTTCACTGCTCATGCAATCGCATATATGCAGTTCATATGAATCTAAGAACAACTGTAAAGAGTCGATGAAACTTTTAAAGACTTAGAGAAAACGTGACAGGAACAAAGTGACTCTTAATTAATATGAATATAAAGTTTGGTTTTCTCATTTTGTGTGCACTAGAGTTCGAAACAAAACGAAAAACTTATCTTTCTATTCAATTTGATGCGATTCGATTTTGTAGGATGTGGCAAATATAATCATTTTTTTTGGTATTAAACTCATTTGGCTAATATATTTCAAAACGATACTTGAAATAGTGATCTTGCACTACAATGACATGCAATGGATCCAAATCTTTGTTTGCATTTAAAGTACACAGAATTGATTATTTATTTCAAGCAGGACTAACAGCATGAAGTCGACAAATAATTTATATAATGCTTTAAAAGAAACGACTTTTTCGTTTTTTTTGCGGTTCACTACTGTTCTCAAGGTTTTCATAATCATGACAGCTGATGCGGCAGGGTTGCCACCTCTTGATCATCGAAAAGTAGGCATTGACCTATGAAAAAAAGAAAATGACAAAAATTTTTCTTTTCAACAGCAGAAAAAAGCAGAATTTTTTTCTAATGGCAAACTATAGTTTACACTTTGTTACAATGTCATAATAAGGAGGTTTCATAGTAGATTTTAGTCTTTATTGGACAAAATTAAGAAAAAATTTACTGAAACAGATCAATAGAATAATTGAACACATTTCTTTTGGAAAGTATGCTTTTCATTTGATTTGCAAAATATACTTTTATCCACATCAGTACATGATAAAGTTGAATTAAAACGTATTTTTAATTGAGCTCATACTTACACTTCAGTATCGTTATCAACACCAATCTGACTGTCGTTAGCATCATCAGTCATTTTTCTACGTCCGTACAGTTGCTATTACTCATGAGGTTGTTTATCCTCGCCAAACAACACTCAAAGATTACATGGATTGATTTGCATCACTCAGGTGGCTAATAGAAAATATGAAGAAAAGAAATACATAGATAAAGAACGAAGCTAAAAGTAGAA